AAATTAAAACACTCCAAGCAATCAGGCATAGGTGATACTCCTATCAATTTCTGAATTTCAAATCAATAAATACTGTACAGTAACACACCCATCTGGCCATGAAGGAGATTGCAGTGGAATGAAGGTACAAGCTCATGAATAGGAACACAAATATCTGTAATAGCATCTAGCACTGAATCTACTAATTCTTAATGTTTAATCTACCACCTACACGTGCTCTAACTTTTCATCTCATAAAAAAATTTATAATGGAGATGTCATTACGTCCACACCTATCTTTGGTTTTAGCCCGTGTACTTGAAAATAGTTTGCCTCTGTCTTATGCCATTTTTTTCCCCCTGAGATACATGTAAATTTTTTCCAAATTTCAGTTATATCTATTAGCAAAAAATGCAACAAACACGTTGCAGTTGTCCATTCACTCTGATTAGCACAGGAAGGAGAACTAGCTTATTCTGGTCTTCTTTCCATGGCGCCCCCTCTTGCCTCAGATCAGACAAGCCCACCAGCACACGCATCCATCGACTTCGACCTCTCAGAATAGGAGCTGCCAGATATTCATTGCACATTGTTCTCTGTAGATGGTTAGAATTGATAAGTTCGAACCTAAACAAATTAAAGGGAAATGCAAAAATCAGGAAATGGTACATTAAGTAGAAAAATGTAAGACTAGGTTTATTATCTTCCCACTAGACCAAACTTCCCTTTTCTGGTATCAGCTTTATCTGTGGCAAAGTCATCATTATCTCCTATCTGTCAATAATTCTCAGATGTCCAGTTAGTAAAATGTTTAGGTAAACTGTACTTTAATGCATTAAAATAAATTTATCATTTCTATTCTATTAATATTACTCTATTAGTTCTCATGTGCTAAGTCACTTCAATCATGTCCAAATCTTTGCAACCCTATGGAGCCTGCCAGGCTCCTCTGTCCCTGGGATTCTCCAGGCAAGAATACTGGAGTGGGTTGCCATTTCCTTCACCAGGGGATCTTCCTGACCCAGGGATTGAACCCACGTCTCCTGTGTCTCCTGCATTGGCAGACGGTTCTTTACCATTAACACCAACTGGGAAGTCCTTAGTTCCAATACTCACAAGCTTCCAGAGTTGGTGTCTCTCTCTACTTTTTAGAACTCATATGGACTCTTCCATGATTTTTAACTGTCCTTTGACTCTTTAAGTGCAGTGTTAATCTAGATGTAGCCTTACTCACAGTAGGCTTTGTTCTCCAATTAGGATCATTTCTGTTTCATTTCCTATATATCCTTTTGGATGTAAAGAAAAGTCTTTTCAAAATTCAGGTATGCCCTGCCACTGAAGTAATACATACACCAACCACACAGATCTGCCAAAAAAAAAAAAAGTAATGAAAAGCAAAAGATATATGATCCAAAGAGAAAGGTAAGAGTTGTAATTTTACATATAAATAACATGATTGATCTTATTTTCCTATTATTATCTTTTCACCTTGAACTCTGTGTATCTCAGGTCGGGCTCTGTAGGGAGCAGACTCAGGAAGAGACAGTGGCAGAGGCTTCTTTAGGGGATTCTTTGCAGACCACCATCTGTGGAAGGGATAATAAATTGGGATTGGACAGGAGGAGAAGTTGGATTGTGATACAGTCTCAACAAAGTGGTCAGGTGGACCCCTAGGAAACTCTGAAGCTGGTGGGCCCTTTGGAATTGTTGCAGATTGGAGCAAGAGGATGAGGTTTTTGTTGACCAGTCAATGGACGCAGGCTGCCCAGAAAAGGGGACCTGACCTTGCATGCAGTGGCTCTTTTCAAGTGAAGCCATTCTGAAGAGGGTTGATCGCCAGAATTGGCTTCAGATACATGCAATTCATATAGTCACGCAGGACCCCACGCTTAGTTTAACACTCTGCTGCCTCTGTCTTAAAATTCTTGATTTTTGGCCAAGGAGCCCTATGTTGTCATCTGGCACTGGGCGCTACACGTTTTGCAATCAGCTCTGCTGACGGCTGAGGGCCGCCTGCCCGCAGCACACTCTGTAACTTGGGTAAGTCCTTCAGCCCTAAAGTGGCATCTGGGTGACAGTCCAGTGTTCACTACAGCGCATACCTTGCATTGCTCAAATCCACTTATCCTTAGAAGGAAGCAGAGTAAATTACAGTCCCTAACACTGAAACTGGTTTTGTGGCTACAACTGAAAATCCTCATCTTTCTCCTGATACCACTGTGAGTCAACATGCCACCAAGTGACTGAGGGGTTTCCTCAAGGATTGGTGACTCAGCACTGGTCTCTGTTGCTGGTAGGATGAACATTCAACAGTGAGTGAAACTAGATCAGCCTTGCTAAGTGGGCACCGATCCCACTGGGTCAACTGCAATCCTGCTAAATGGCTATTCATCCCAGACACTGATGTCATTTTGTCAACTTGGTTGTTTGGGGCCCCTTCCATCATGGATTCCTTACGGTATGGATCAACATGTAGTACCAAGATCTTCCCTCTTTGTGCCTGTCCACATACCTTTATCTCGGATCTGCTGCTGCCCAATCTTCCAGTCTATTTCTTTTCAGGCACCAAGCCAACTGGTCATGCCAGTTGCCACTGCCCAAGTGTATTCTAATCTTGGGCCACCTTCCACACGAAGAGATGGCAAGGTGTACTGCCTGAAACTCTGTGCTTTTTAGAGGATTTTCGCTCATCTCTAACTTTCAAGGCCACCCCTTTGTGGGCTGCAGTATAACCATCATGTATTTTTGTTTTTTACCATGTACAGGCCTTACCCACCCATGAGTCAAATTCAAGCATTTTTCTCTTCCATCAGTTGGCCATAGAGAATCCTTGGCAACAGGTGTGAACTGAGGGGGAGGTACTGGTGCAACAGTGGTGGGTGACACGGGAGTCCGGCCTGCCTGCTTGTGTAGCATTCTGTGCCCTCTGGCCATATTTGTGTTTGATCCTAGATGTAGCTTCCATTTTACAATGGATTGCAACATGACTCAACACAACCTTATGACTTGATGGGACAGATAGAACCCAGCTCATTATTGGTGGTTTTGGTTACATGGTTACCAAGCATCTCATCATCAGGTGCTCCATCTCTACCAGGGCACACTAGCACATCACAACTGTTTGTTGAAAGGTGTTTATTTCTCCACTATAGATGGCATGATCTTCATCTAGAATGGCATCCGCATTGTGACTTTCCCATTGGAACTTGGCATAAACTCCACACGTCTCCCCACTACTGACGCATCTAATACAACAGGCATAGTTGCCTGTGTCAGCCTATTTCAGTCACTCACCTACATGGTTAATGGTAATTGGTTAAGAGCCTTGACAAAATGCAGTTAAAGAAGACCGGATGGTGCAGCTAACTCCCTAGAACACTGGACAGTCTGACAGAGGCGACATTTGAACACCATCTTGAAGAATGCTTGCTTCCTCCAGAGCCAGAAGCAGAGAAATCATAGCAGAAGGAAAGGTATGACTTTGGGTAACTTACACAGATTTCATTTTATCAATACACTTGATTGTTGAAGAACTCAACTACATTGTTCTTTCCCCAACTGCACCTCATCCTCTTCATCTTATGAAAACTCTCCCCAACCTGTTCTCTCCACAATGAGCATTTTCCCGTGCAGGAGTCTGAGTTATCTCTAGAGTGAGTTCATTGTGCCCTCTCTATATTCCAGAACATTGAAGGACACCCAAGGCTAATCCAATCTTAATGACCCATAAGCTCTGCTTTATGGCTAAACTTTGTCTTCAGTCTGTGTGTTCCTTAACCTCACCCCCCAAAATGCCTAAAACCCTTTAACTGATGTCTAAGGCTTACAATTTGAAGTGAAATGCTCTTTAGAGCTTTAAATAAGTTACACATACCGCTTTCCCTTTATTAGATAGTTTACTATTCTCAAAGGATTGCACTCAGGATAGGATTACTTTTTTTTCCCAGACAGAAAAACATTTGTTGCATACTTTCTGCTAGATTAACACTTGAGATTGTCAAAAGCTACCTTCATCACTGACAGCCCCCTCCCTCTCTGAGGTCTTCCCTAATCTACAGAGGTAGCACTACCAGCTGGTACTGACAGATGCCAGACTTGAGGTGTTGGGTGATATATGAAAACATGAAAGGCAAAATTAAAATGGGCTCATGAAACTTATTTCCTAACCATTTAAGCACTCACTGTTTTGTTTAAAACATTCTTGTAACTGAATTGAACGCACTGGAAAGTTTTGTTTTAGTAATACTACTGCTTTTTCAACTACTAATTCATCTATGAATGGTTATATCAAAAGACAATACTGTGTATGACTAGAGAAAATATGGACGTGATTCATCACATATATTATTTGTAAAGTTTTGCTTGTTTTTTTTACCTTTGACTTTCAGAAGTAAACTAGAGATATGCAAAGAACAGAGTATCCACATTATAATGTTACTCACAGAAATGGCTGAAAAGAGCAGGGCCACAGTCAAGTCAGTAGTACTTTAATAAAATGAACAGAACCCATTATAACAACAGCTCTTTATTACATGGATTCAAATACACAGACCAATCCTGTTCTCTGAAATTTAACAGCTGTGTTCAATTAAAACCTGTTAGCACATTCCTCAACACTAATTCTAAGGGGCTTCCTTTGAAATCCCTTTCAAAGCCTTTGTGCAAAGAGGTTAAGCACCAGTAGTAAAGACTGTTGCTGGCAGTTTTATTTCACCATCATCATCAACAACAACAAACATGCAGTTTTTCCCTTCTATGTACATGGCATTGTAAAATGGGTGCTACACTCTGCTTATGGTACAAAGTTTATAAACACAGTATACCAATACAAAGTTGAAGCCATTAAAAACATCTTAGTAACAACTACTAGGAGATAATTAAATCTGGAGTGTTGATGGAATCTATGAAGAGATTTAAAACCAACACACAAACTCAAACATTATAATAAATGTTTTACTTGGGAAAGGCTGAAAGGGGAACTTCTTAGGTGCTACTGAGGGGTTTTCTCAGTTGTTCCAGGTTTACTTTCTTTCTGCTATTATCTTTAAATACTGCAAAGCATTGTGAGCTGCATCACTTTGCGCGCTGCTGCAGGAGATCCCCGAGCCATGACAGACCGTGATGGGACTGGTGGACAGCTCCGCGAGACACTGGTACTGTCCGTTGGCGCTCAGTTCTTCTGCAATGACACATTCAAACATGGTGATTAATGCCGCATGCAGAGAAAGCAGAGTTTCTGTAAAAACAATTTTTGTTACTGTGAGAGGGTAACAGGCAGGAAGGCCGGGGGTCTCCAAATGGAAAAAAGAGGCTGCAGGTGCCAGACATTTTTATCTCTCTTAAGCGGCAGGAAGAAACAAACCAGCGATATGTCTTTCCTTCTCTATACAAATTTAAAAGAGGTTTCTCTTAAAGTGCTGTGTTGCCATGACACCTGGTCTCACCTGAAGCTAACTACTCTCAAACCTTGAGTTAACCAATACGTTTCTTTTTCGTATGGAAATGTTGTCTTAAGCTATGTTAATGAACCCCAGACTCTATCTTCAAATTGGTTCTGCCAAATGGCCTAATTTACTTACTCAGGTATTGTTCCCCTAATCTGTGTAAATGAAACTATTTGTTGGTATTCTGCCCTTCTACAAGATTCAAGTCAATCGTTTTATGGCCAGGGATGAATTATCTGGTGTCATTCTAAATTTTATGACATTCTTTTCATTAACAGACTGTGAGTGACTATATAACATACAGCTAAAGACTAGGAGGGGGGTACTCTTTTGCCCCCTTCTGATGCCTATGTCAGAAGCTTTCTCTATCTCCTTTATACTTTAATAAAACTTTATTACACAAAAGCTCTGAGCGATCCAGCCTCGTCTCTGGCCCCGGATTGAATTCGTCTCCTCCGGAGGCCAACAATCCCGCGTCTAATCGTTCAGCAACAACCTTTCAACTGTCCCTCTCCCCCAAGCACCTTTTTATTTGCTACTCCACTTGTCAGGTGCTATTCTCTATTCATAAGAACCATTTAGTTCTTGAAATTAGTAAGAAGCGTTTCGAAGTCATCATTAATACATTATCTAAAAATCATCTCAGGTTTCCCTTTCCCAAATTCATAAACAATTTTGAATGCATGGTCTCTTAATCAACCACCTTTCCTGATCATCTTTCTACATTAATCCTCAGGTTCTACATCATTCCCAGTATATTAAGACATTGCACCTGACTCATTATTCAATCCCAAAGTAGAGAAAATCAGAAGTTCCTTCAGCCCCTAAATATCCTATTTTCTCAGTAGTAGTAGCTCTGATGAGCTAGGTTCCCCCTGAATCACTGAGTCTGGACTAAGGGATATCAAATTCCTCACATACGATACTGATGTTAAATCAAGATACCCAACACACACATGAACACACAAATTAGCCACTTATCCACTGCATTAAAAGAAAATCTACACTGACTTGCTTTCAATCTGTCCACATTTGTCTATCTGAATGATCAGGGGCTAGAAAAAATATAGAAGTTGATAGCTGGGATGAAATAAAGCTGTAACTTGTCCCCATTTATCTCCCAGAACTGGAACACAGTGATAAAAAGGAGAGATGTCTGGCCCGGACCCCACAAACTTGGTATTTGTCCTAGAAATGTGGGTACCTTTTTATTTGTCAAGCTGTCCATCAAGGCTAGTTTAACAGATATTATACCGGCAGGGACTCTTCTTCTAACCTGGCTCTACTGACCAGCTATGCCATCTCAGGCAAGTTTCTCAACCTTTCTTTGTCTTACTTTCTTCACTTATACCTAAGATAATAGAAATTCCAGATGTTCAAGCTGGATTTAGAAAAGACAGAGGAACTAGAGATCAAATTGCTGATATTTGTTGGATCACTGAGAAAGCAAGAGAGTTCCAGAAAAACATCTACTTCTGCTTTATTGACTATGCCAAAGTCTTTGACTGTGTGGATCACAACAGAATGTGGAAAATTCCTGGAGAGATAGGAATACAAGACCACCTGACCTGCCTCCTGAGAAATCTGTATGCAAGTCAAGAAGCAACAGTTAGAACTGGACATGGAACTACAGACTGCCTCCAAATCAAGAAGGGAGTACGTCAAGGCTGTATATTGTCACCCTGCTTATTTAACTTATATGCAGAGTACATCATGAGAAATGCCAGACGGGATGAAGCACAAGCTGGAATCAAGATTGCCAGGAGAAATATCAATAACCTCAGACATGCAGATGACACCAGCCTTATGGCAGAAAGTGAAGAGGAACTAAAGAGCCTCTTGTTGCAAGTGAAAGAGGAGTGAAAAAGTTGGCTGAAAACTCAACATTCAGAAAACTAAGATCATGGCATCCAGTCCCATCACTTCATGGCAAATAGATGGGGAAACAATGGAAACAGTGACAGACTTTACTTTTTGGGGGTCCAAAATCACTGCAGATGATGACTGCGGCCATGAAATAAAAGACACTTACTCCTTGGAAAAAAAGCTATGACCAACCTAGACAGCACAGTAAAAAGCAGAGACATTACTTTGCCAACAATGGTCTGTCTAGTCAAAGCTATGGTTTTTCCAGTAGTCATGTATGGATATCAGAGTTGGACTATAAAGAAAGCTGAAGGCTGAAGAACTGATACTTTTGAACTGTGGTGCTGTAGAAGACTCTTGACAGTCCCTTGGACTGCAAGGAGATCCAACCAGTCAATCCTAGAGGAAATCAGTCCTGAATACTCATTGGAAGGACTGATGCTGAAGCTGAAACTCCAATACTTTGAAACCTGATGCGAAGACCTGACTCATTTGAAAAGACCCTGATTCTGGGCAAGATTGAAGGCAGGAGGAGAAGCAGATGACAGAGGATGAGATGGTTGGATGGCATCACCAATTCAATGGACATGAGTTTGAGCAAGCTCTGGGAGTGGGTGATGGACAGGGAAGCCTGGCGTGCTGCAGTTCATGGGGTCACCAAGAATCGGACATGACTGAGTGACTGAACTGAAGATAATAGAATGTACTTCATAGGATTAGTTTGAGTATTCTGTGACTTGAAATATGTAATGTCCCTAGAACAGTGCCTGGCACACAGTAACTCTATAATTTTGCTATTGTTTTTATTACAACTGTATAGATGTTATCTCTTTTTATTATTTATAAGAATGAGATACATCAGTGATATATATTACCACTCTGCTAATTGTATATAGTTAGAATCCTCTATTATAATAGACATTTTGTTTATCAAACATATTTTGAAAAGAAACAGGTTTTGGGTCAAGCCAAAGGAAAAAAAAATCATACCTATATCCAAATATGTTATATTAAAACCTTGTTCCTTCGCAATTTCACTAAGCAGCTGGATGTAATCTGTATTTGGAATGCTGAGGAGGCTTCTTTTCAGTAAGTTGATCTTTTCACCAGGAGAATTCCTTAAGGAATGCCAAGTACAACCTAAAGAATGCCCTACCATATTTGTCTGAAAAACAGAGATTAACATTAAGACTCTTGGGTTGGGCTCCAACGCTACTATGAATATTAGTTCAGCAATTTAAATTTCCAATTTAGACAGCACTAATAAGCTCACACATTTATCAAATAATACAATATTAAAGAAAAAAGAATGTGCAATGAAATACTGAAGGATTTCAAAATACTTTTGTATAGCGTAACGGTCTTGTTAATATGTATAACATATTTAAAAGCATGATAAGTAAATCTGCAAATACAGCTGACCCTTGAACAACGTCACATACTATCTTCCTATATGGACTGGCATCTATACATATCCTTTGTCTATTCCAATACAAATTTCAGTGTTATCAAGCTTCATAAATTTTGTTATTCAAAATACACAGATAACAAAAAATCAAGTAATACAGAATTATAAAAGCAACAGTCCCCATACCTACCTTCAATCCCCTTTCCAGAAGCAATAATTTTCAACTTTTTATTTTTAATTACTCTGGTGGTGACCTTTGTCACAGAAATGAGAAAGCTATTGATCTTGTGTATTGGTTTTTGATCAGTTACCTTGATGAATTCTCATTATTTCTAGTAGTTTTTCTCTAGGGCTTTATAGGGATACAATTATATTATTTGTAGTTAACGATCATTTTTATCTCCTCTTATTTCCAACCTCTTATTGTTTTCTCTTCTCTGGTTACGCTGGTTGATACTTCTAGAACAAGGTTTAAAAAAATGGTATCAGTGGGCATCCTTGCCTTATTTCTGAAATTAATGGGAATGGATATAACATATAAACATGTACCCAAGATTTTGATTTTTTTTTCTTGAGATATACATTTAATTTTTTAAAAATCTCTTAAAAAATATTTGTCTGCGCCAGGTCTTCGTTGCAGCACCTAGGATCCTCAATTTTGAGGTGGCATGCAGGATCTTAGTTGCGACATACGAGACCTAGTTCCCTGACTAGGGATCGAACACCTGAGGTACATATTTTAAAGCACAATAGGGATATTTTAGAAGCATTTATCAGTAGTGACTACCCAATTTTTTTTGGCATCTATTGAGAGGACTATGTTTTCCTTCTTTGACCCATTAATGTAATTAATTATAGCAATAGATTTACTAATGTTGAAACACCCTTGTGGTCCTAAACAAATTTATGTAGAAGTTTCTCTCACATTATATATATTGCCTGGAAGAGTTTAAACAGCACTGAAGATTATCTCTTCCTTGAAGATTTAACAGAACTCACCTGCAACCTAACTGTTTTGTGACTGTGGTGTCATCTCTGATCCAGTCTTTAAAGAAATGAATGCAATGTTTTATATTCTTCTATTAAAAAAGTGAAACCAAAATTATATTACTTACCTAGATATAGTCGTTGGTTCCTACAGAACAAGCCCCTTTTTTAAAATCATAAGCTTAGGACACTCCTATAGTCTTCACTTCTCATTTCATACCTAACATCCTATTCTCAGATAATGGACCATCATACATACCTACCTACATTTTGTGTAACCCAATCTCTTATGCTCTCTATCTGAATGACCAGTTGCCTACTCAATATCTTCACTTAGCTACTCCACAAACACTTCAAATTCAATATATCCTACATTTAACTTATTATATGCTCCCCCTTAAACCCTACTCACCTTCTTTGTTCCCCGTATTACTGAACGGCACCACCATCTAGGTAGCTGCCAAGCTAAAACTGTTTACGTCTTCCTTTTCCCCTACTCTCTACATCCAGTTATGATACCCCCATTCACTTCAGTTTTTAAGTAAGTTTTAAATTGACCATTTCAATTGCTACTACCTTTGTCTAGGTCACCATCATGTCTCATCTGCTTTTCTGTAACAGCATTATAGCAGGTCTCTATGACTCTAACGTTTATTCATCCACCATAATGCAGCCAGTCATTCCCTTCTAATGTATAAATTAGATTCTGTCCTTCCTATATTAAATTTATTTAATGACTTTATGCTACCCTCAGGATAAAGTTCAATCTCCTGAACACGGTACTTCCTGCAAGATTCAATCCCTCTTTACCTTTCCTGCTTCATTGTTTGAGACTCCCTCCCTCCAAATTCAATGCTCCAGCCATCCAAAATTACTCTGGATCACATAAAGTGTTTCACTCCTGGTCTTTGTACATGGTCTTTCTTCTCTCTGGAATTCTTTTTACTGCTGTCATCCTATAAGTCTCAGCTCAGATATTACTTCCTCTAAGTCTTCCTGAAACCTTATCTTGGTTGGATCCTTCTTCTATGTTCCCAAGAAGCCCCTGTAAGGCCTAGTCTGTAGGGTTCTTTTCTCTCTCAGTAGGCTGGCTGAAAACTCCTTAGGGCCAGAGACTATCTTATTCACTATATACCAGTATCTGGCATAAATCTGGGCACATATTATGACTTTCCTAAATGTTTGCTGAGTGGATAAATGAATGGATATCAAGAGATGGGAGTGAAATGTCAATCTGAAGGCAAAAACAGCACTACTGACCTACCATCTTTAAAAACCATCATATTATTCTGAATTTGACTGTGCTTCCCAAACTCTCTTTCCTGGCCACCCCTGTGACTGGCTCACATATAGCAAGCAGCTAAAAACTGGGGTAGTGTATTACTCAACAGTTGAGAGATTTTTGAAAAACTGCGACTCTGTAGTATACTATACAAAATGAAATCTACAGAAGTTTCCCATAGCAACACAAGTTTAATCACATTAACATCACAGATCCCTGATCATTACTCACCAAAGAAATGTGGTTCTCTGGAGAAATATTACTGAATTTGGCAAGAAATTTCTCAGCAGCATTTCTCTTGGCTTGTTTCTTTGATGCCCCCTTTCCTAAATAAAGAAAAAAAAGAAAGTACTAGGTTAGAAAATAAATTAGTGTCCGCAGAGAATGACAAATGTTTAAAGTACTATGTTTGACCAGAGAACAATCTCATGGTTTTTATGTACTTTTACTGACCTGATATCTTTACTTGTTCAGCTTTATGCAACTATTAATTGTTACATTTTTGAAGGCATTTCTTTAGCAGTTTATCTTCAATAGTTAAACTTTCTGTTTTTCTTCAACAGATTTATCTCCCTATGTCTAGCTTTAATGAACCGTATTTGGTTTAATTCTGATGAAATATTCAAATTTACCAAGGTAGATTTGAATTACATCTCCCATCTTTCAATGTCTGCTTCTGGCTTATCATCTCCTGCACACAGATAACTATGTGGAATTTCTTCAACATGAATAAGAAGGGCATAGGAGAGGCTGGAGTTGAAAGATCCAAAAATATAACCTATTTCCATGTTTAGAGATTTAAAAACTCAGGCCTAGGCATGGAGATTAAGCAATTTGCCTAACCTTGCAAATCAAGGACTGCATCAAGAACAGAGGTGAGGTTTCTGCTTCTGGCTGAGGGCTTCCTGCACTGACCCACACTACCTCTTGGGGCAAACAGCTGCTTAGTACGTAGGACTAGTATCTAGCCAACTTAAAATTTCATTTCAAGCCACTTTTAAAATGATAAAAAATGCTCGAGAAATTAAAATAGAAATCCTTAGGAGTACTTTATTAAGTGACTTTTTTCCCTCATAATCTGTGGCCTTTACAACATCGAAGTTGCTATAATACAAAAGGTTAAATTCTACTTCATTTTTATTTCACTATCAGCCTCTTTGGAGAAGGAAATGGCAACCCACTCCAGTATTCTTGCCTAGAGAATTCCATGGACAGAGAAGCCTGGGGGGGTTGCACCAGTCGGACATGACTGAGGCGACTTAGCATGCATGCATACACTGGAGAAGGAAATGGCAACCCACTGCAGTGTTCTTGCCTGGAGAATCCCAGGGACAGAGGAGTCTGGTGGGCTGCCGTCTATGGGGTCATACAGAGTCAGATACGACTGAAGCCACTTAGAAGCAGCCATAGCCTCTTATCAATTATCTTGTTTTTAAATGTAATCTTCTCCTAGTCCTTCTGTCTTCTAGAACAGATACTGAAGCTCCAAGAGATTTACTACTGCCTTTTTCTTCAAAATGATGTTTAAGTCCCTATTATATCAATGAAGACTGTTTAAAGAATCAATTATTTATTTGTATTTCCATTACCAACCCATGATTTTTTTAAAAAATTCAAATTAAGAAGTATAAGTATTCTTAAGCCAACTATTTATACTTATTAATAAATTCAACAGCAGAAAGTTAGAGACAGTTGACTAGGAGTGTGTCAGTTTTGTTTTCCCCAAAGAAGTATTTGAGACGAAATCACAGCAGAAATTTTTTCATCCTCTCAAAATATTTCGACGGTCTTCAACTGTATCAGCGTAGAAAGAAACAAATACCAGTTTCCATGAATGACTCAAGCCTGCAAATTGTGGTATATTCCCTCTTATGAGCAGGTCCTCCCTCCTGGGAAAGGGTATATTCAGGAAGTCTCCAGCCATGATGAATAGCCAATTCCTAGAAAATCGAGATGAGCCTTTAGTAGTAATTTTTACTATGCAATGGCTCAATCACATTAATGATATTTCTCTCATGGTTTTGATCCCATTTCTATTTATATGTTTGCAGAGAATAATGATATTCTGCAGTATTAAAAAAAAGAGAAGGTCCTCTATTCCCCACAGATATTCCTGCATTTTACATTTTATAAGCCCACGACCCCAAAACTGAAGCAGTTTCCTGCTGTGAATGGTGCTCTTCCGTTAAGCTATAGTGAGTTGGTTATCAAAGAGGTCAGAAGAAGGATACGCTACTCTCACCCTCTTGGGGAACACGGGAGAGGACGTCACAGGTCTCCCGGCCCTCAGTCCCTAAAGTCTCTTCCTAACTAACCTTCTACACCCATGGCTGCCTGCCTGACTGCACTCGATCAAGAGCAGGTGAGGAGCAGACAGCAAACACACACACTGGATGAGACTGAGGAAAGACGGGAAGCAAACTACAGAAAAACTCATAGAGCAGGAGAGAGACCAGACGACTGGCTGGATACCAGGGAGGGGGGCTGTCCAACAGAGCACATGGATAATCTGCGAGAAGCACGTTCCCACACAGAAACTCAAAGCTGAATATATTTTTTGGTAGAATAAGCAAGTAAGCAGACGACTTCCCTTGTCCTGTGTTAGATAAATCAGTTTGGGTTCTTTATAGACTTCTGTCTCAACAGAAGTAGAAAGAGATTTGTCACAAGAGTGGCAAGAAACATTCTTAAAATATAAAACACTCTACCCATGTGCACTGAGGTCCTGTTGATCTCAAATGAGAATTCCACAAACCAAAGGCAGATACTGTATATGGAAGAAAATCCAAAATGTAAATAAATATGAAAAGAACTTCAAGTTAGCACTTTAATAACTAATGATCGTTAACTTGGAACACAAAATGTTGCACCACCTAATCTTTAAGACATTAATTCCTTCTCTTAGCCCTTATGATATCTTCATTTATGACATTTTTTTCCAGGAGACAAAAAGTTAAGTATGGTAAAACTGTGCCACTTACCTGTAATGAGCCAATAGGATTAAGCTGGTTCTTTGGTTGCTTGGAAGGGTCAGGCATTAAGGGATCAGGAACTGCAAAGCTGAACATTTTTATAAAGGGTTATAAAACAAAATAACCTTCCTCAAATTATTAAATAAAGGATAAGCATTTTCTATTTAGCTCTCCATGCCTTCGCTCTTGAGTTCCTTCTACATGGAATACCCTGTTCACCCACCTCTTCTATGGGAATCTGATCTATACCTCAGCCAAGGTACACACCTCAAATGCAACTTTCTCTCAGAAGCCTATTCTTTTACCCCAATGGGACATAATTTCTCCCTTCTTTGAACCACAGTAACATTTGGTTTGACACTTTCTTAAGCAATTATTTTACCATTAAGTTGTACACTATTACAAATACATGCTATTTGTCTATCCATCACCATACCTCTCTCCTGTTCAGACTGTAAAATCCTTGGTGGTAGGGCCTATGTATTACTTACCTTCATAAGCCTTGCTGTGCTTTATGTAAAACAGATGCTCAATAAAAAGTGTATTTAAATAAACACACCATTGTTACAACCACACAAAAAGGGAAGAATAACAGGATGTTTAGCTCGGCAGTGTAAACCATACATATCATAAATGTAGCTTCTTCATCCAGACAATTAGAGAAGACTTGGCTTGATCTACTATCTGCTCTATGCTAGGATAATCTTCCTAAGATTTACGTATGTATTCTCAGTCGCTAAATTGTGCGCTAAGTTGTGGACAGTAGCCTATCAGGCTCCTCTGTCCGTGGGATTTCCCAGGCAAGAATCCTAGAGGGGGTTGCCATTCCCTATTGCAGGGGATCTTCCTGACCCAATGATCAAATCTGCATCTCCTGCACTACAGTTGGGTTTTTTTGTTTTTTTTTTTTGATGGCTGGCATGAATCTGATTTGAACATGTAGGGACGGTGATTAAGGAAAAACAGAACAACCTCTTCTGAGTAGTGTGAACTTACTAGTTACGTGCATGATGGGTGTCTAACGTGGAACAAGCTGCATTCCAAGATTACTGCTACCTTGGCAGCAGTAATTTTTTCCATTACCAATGAGATTGTCATTGCCACTTACTTAAGTTTCTTTTCTACCTGCCAGAATTTCATAGGCTGGTTACATAGGCTGATGAGATACGAACATTCATTTACAATGCTGTACACTGAAGCTACCAAAAATAATTGTGATGGAGAAGTGATAAAGTCTCTTTATCCTATCAGGCCACTTTAGGCCTGATTTATAGCTTGGTTAATTTCCATCTTATCTGTCAAGAAGCGCAAATACATAGTAAAGTTTATTAGCCCTTTTTGGCGGACAAAGTGCCTGTGTGCAGAAAGGACCCTCTGTATGTTCATTTATACAAATATATGCAACACTCTGAGTTGACCTTTGGGTTGCAGAAAAATGGCATGGCCATTACCAGCAAGGAGAAAATCTAAAACCCACCATGCCATCTGGCATGTCCAGAAAATGAGCATAAATCAGTTATAATGTATGACCCTAGAGAATCAAATATCATGTTATGAGATCCAAAGCTTTCACTGGTTGGTTCTAAACGACCTGAACAGTTTAGAACTACTAAGTACACAGGAAGAATACTGCAGCAGAACCTAAACATATCCCTAAACAGAAAGTTTTTCTAGGGCTGGGAAACAAAAAAAACCCATCCTAACTTCTCATGGGCCTTTGCTGTCAGCTATAAGCAGCTATACCAGATTGCACTCCCAAGTATACTTGAATGCATGTAAAGGGGAGAATTTGAAGGCAAAACATGCTCCTCTTGGATGTGCCCATTAGAAACCAAAAGACACCACTTTATGATACAAGAGATGCTCCAGGACCAGCGCTCCTTCCAAATACAACTAATGTGATAACACATTTATTTTGGAAAGATATGTCAAGAATAAACATCCCATTTAGCATCCTCTTATAGTTGGTATACGTTCTCTAGCAGAAGGAAATCTCTTTGTCTCCTTACAAATTCAAATTTCTAAAAGAGAACTTTTAGCTGATATTTTTCTGTCTCACACTTTGTTTCCTTCAGTGAGGAACAAAACTCTTAATACAGTAAGATATTTGTCAGAAGCACTCTGGTTTTCTACTCCTGTACCTCATCTGGAAAAAAGAAAAAAACCTAGTTTATGAGAGCCTTCATCTAAAAATGTTGTTGTTTAGTTGCTAAATCATGTCTGACTCTTGCAATCCCCTGGACTGTAGCCCACCAGGTTCCTGTGTCCATGGGATTTCCCAGGCAAGAATGCTGGAGTGCGGTGCCATTTCCTTCTCTGTCATTTAAAAAAAGCTGAATTTAATTTCTTACGGATAAAGTGTCTTTAGGGGATGACAGGTCTTCACAAGGAGATAGAATTTTATTAATAGAGCTAGACACTATCAACTATTTACTTTGTTGCTTTTGTGAGCACCTTCAAACTTTTAATCTTACCTCAGCCATGATATTTTTGAGCTGCAGAATACAAAGAAATTTAGCTCACCAAATACTTGCATTGGCTTTCAAAATGTTTATGGCAGCCTCTGCAGCTCTATGTTTCGCCAGCTTCTTACTTGTACCTTCACCTGAATTAAGGTTAAAAAAAAAAACAACAAAAAGAACTCTCTATATGCTGAAAACGTATGAGGCTTGCATAGTACAAAACAAAGTCACTACATGTATTATATATACACACTAGGTATACACACTAGGTAATAAAAACATACACTGCATACAGTTATACATTGAAATAAAATACCATAAAAATTAATTTTTTAAAAATCCCTTTGATAAGTGCTAAGTATTTAATTCTAAGTATACTTGTATAAAAATCTTTGTCTATTTTTTACATGTTTATTACATAAAATGATAATACAGTAGACTGTCTCTATGTGTGCTAAAGGCAACTTACTTCCATTATTCCTAGAGAGCAAATTCTTGTATAGCAAGAAATTTTCTTTAAAGGAGGCACTTACAGCAACATTATTGAACAGAAAAATGTGCACATTTTACTCTAACAGGCCCTCCTATACTGGATGAAACCCCTCTGCTTGGCTAAGCAGTCACTGGCTACCTGTTGGATACAGCGGGGGAAGGTTTGTATAGGGAATGTGAGAGATTACATTGTTATGTGTCTTTCATACAATCTGTATCCCTTACATGGGTAGCTAAGGGGGTAGAAGAGACCAGGCCTGACTATTAATCACTGAGACTGATGCCTAATATCAGTAAGCAACCACACAAATAAATTATAAATTCAGTCTTTTTTCTTCTGAGTTCAAACTAGGTGTTGACAACCTGTCCAAAGCTGTGTCAGAATGGTAATATCCATTCCTCTGATGTAGAGGAAAGAAAGGGCACATGGAATAAATGTCAGGTGTGGCTCTCAAGCATCAGAGAACACAGAAACCACACTCATTTATCCATTCACATAGGTATTATGGATACTGTACTCCTTTGAAAAATGTGGGAATTAGGAGCACTGATGCTCTGCACTGAAATATGTGGGAATTAGGGGCACTGACCCTCTGCACTGAAAATTCACGCATAATTTACAGCCAGCCCTCCATATCTGTGGTTCTTCCATTTCTAGCTTCCTCGGTAACTGCAGATTCAACAAACTGTGGATTGTGTGGTCTTGTAGTACCGACTACTGAAAAAGATTGACATCTAAGTGGACCTGTGTAATTCAAACCGTGTTGTTCAAGAGCGAACTGTAGTAGAGACCTAAGCAGAGTCCCCATCCTTAAAAGAGCATACAGCCTAATGTGTGAGATTTTGTCTATAAAAAAGATGTCTGAAATATGAAGCATCACAGTGGGCCTAAGTGCAGGCTGGAGGGTGGCCTACAGAAGGGGTAGCTCCCCTACTCTTAGTAGGACTCAGAAAGGTTTCATGAAGGAGGAGATAACTAAATAGGGATCTGAAAGATCAGTAAGTCAGTGAGGTCAACAGCGCTGGGGGAATAGGAAGAGCACTGTAGGCAGAGAAGGAGGAACTGTGAAGGCTCAGAGGCAAGACAGAGCACGGTGTTCTCACGCCCCAAGTTGCTGGGACAGTACGAGCTTGAAGGAGGGGACTTCGAGATAAAAGGTCAGAGAGTTGAAGGGCAGAAGGAGAGTTCAAAGGGTAGTCTCCTCAATTGTGTTTCTCTAACTTTAGGATTTGCCTGGGCATTTTGTTAGAACACATACTAAGAGTAGGTGTGGGCTGGGACCTGATGGTCTGCACTTCTTTCAAGTGCCTGGGTGATAGCAAGGCTGCTGTTGACCACACTTTGCAAAGTAAGGTTGTCAGTCATGTTAAGAAATTTGTATTCATCCAGAGGGTGATGGGAAAACCACTGAATGGATTTTAAGAGTTTGAATACTTCAAATGAACAGATTTGAATGCCAGAAAAAATACTCTGGTTTTTGTGTGGAAAATGGCTACCACATGACAGAAGCTAAAAGAGCAGCTATGAGACTGCAGCTATATTCCAAGTGGCTCAGACAATAGCAACAGGAAGATGACAGAAGCAGGCAAATTCAAGAGATACTTAGGAAGTAGGATCTGGTGGCATAACGGACAACACAAAGACGGAGGAGAAGGAATCAAGAAGGTGAAACTCAAATCTCTATTGTGAGCAAATCAATGATGGTGGTGCCTATACTGAACTGGGGAATGCAGGGGAAATGGATTTGAGAGAGAAGATGGATTCAGTCTGGGACAATGAGAGATGGAGGTGTCTTTGGGTCATCCAAGCAAAAATGCCTAGCAAACTCAGGCTGATGCATTGTTTTGTAACTGTGCCTGGGCTAAAGACAGAGATTTCAGAATTATTAGCCGTTAGATAGTATCTGAAACCATGGAGGTAGATAAGCTTGCATAGAAGACAGGACAGTGTGAGAAGAGTAGAGGGGCTAAGCCGTTGCCACAGGTTGTTAATCTCTCACATAAAACACACTAAGGCGGGAAAAATGCTACTTTTTCTTGAATTTTCACTTAATACTTAAAGACAGACCAGCTAAAGCAGTAGTGCAATGTTGAGCCTGTCATTCACATGAGAAATTTATAGCTAGAATCTAACTACAATCCACCTGCCCCACATAGACAAAAAAGCTTCAAAATTTTCTTAAAAGGACTTCAATGAAAATAGCAGACTCCAGATTTTCGTGGACACAAATGATGCCTTCAGGCTACCAGATGGTGGAACTTCAGCCTTCTTACTGAATTTCTTTTTTGGCATTCTTCCAAATTAAATTTAGTATTCAATAGTTCATGTTTGCAGTTAAATAGATACATAAGAAGTAAAATGTCTACATTTACAAATGAGCTACTTCAGTTATCATTTGCTGAAGCTCAAGGACCATAATCTGAATTTTGAAACTTCACTGCCATGTGACCTTGGGCATGTTTCATATAATCTCTCTGGACCTAATTCCTCATATAAAATATAGGCGATAACATCTTATTAAAATATCTGCACAGTGTCAGGAACTAGAAGCTACTATGCAATACAGTGTAGTTGAGCCTTCCACCTTCCTCATTTTGCTTGGATACAGAACCAAGTGTGGTACAATGGACCCAGAGTGCCAAACGAGTCCGTACAAAGAGGGGAGCAGGTCAGAAAATTCTGGGGTCATGCCTCCTGGCATCTGCTATGACCTATGGAATTTGACAGCACCTTCTGATTCAGCTATGGCTGCTCCAAGAACCTTTCCTGCTTCTCCCTAATTCTTGGAAGAACCTTAGGAGGATCTTAGGGTATGTTTCTGAGCTTCTCTTGATATCTGGGGAAGAGAAAATTAGGGAGAGAATCAGAAAGTTGCAAAGTCCAAATGACCTGAGAAAGGCATCAGTCTCTTCAGACTACTCCTCACTGACGTCTCTGGCAAAAAGGGCACTTTTTCCGAACTGAGAAGCAATACCCAAGTCTGGACCACCAGCCCACATGGTCATGGGGTTAATACAGACCTGTGCAGGTTATGTCACCAACGGTTACTCTGAAGGTGAAAGTGGGCACGTGTATTTGCACATCGGATCTTTCACATTCGTAAACCGGGATGTTCTTGGTCTTCATGCCGTATTCGTGTAATACCTGAATTGGTGTTTTGCCTGGCTTAGCTGTAATCATCTTCCCCAAACTGCAAAAACCAGAAAAAGCTGTGCGTTGCATGTCAAAGCGGGGAGGGAAACAGAAGCAATCAGAGACTAGACTTAATAGCCATCACCGGAGACGCTGGAGGCACCGGTAGGACAGGGTTAGAGCTGGCGAAGCGCGCCAGTCTCCGGGCCCCGCTGCGGAGGTCTTAAAGGAGATAACTTGAATGCGGGTAGGAGGGATTCGCAGGGGAATCGAGAGGTACGGCGGGTGCTGCCACCTCCCAGGTTCCAGCCTGCAAACCCCTTTCCCTCCGCGGCAGCCGCTCACCACCTCCGTCCACCCCGCGCTGCCGAGGCCGCGGGGGGGGCGGGGTCCCCGACCGGCTTGCGGCCGAGAGGGCGGGGTGGAGCGCTCGCTGGTCCGCCCGCCCGCCGGCCTGCAGCCGCTAGGACGCGAACGCCGGGAAGGGGCTTTACCCAGAATGCTGCTGGACAGCTGGCTCCCCCGCCCCCTGCTGCCCACCACTCCGGGCCCTGCCCGGCTCGGTCCCGACCGCTCAGAAACTGACCTGAAGGTTCCGCTGTCCTCGCGCTCCATCGGCGGAGCCGCGGCGCGATGCCTGCTCTGAGACATGGCGAGAAGGGACGGCTTTGCGGGAGGAAGAGCGGTGCGGAGCGACGTCCTCGCTTCCCCAGTGGGCTGGAGCCCGAGAGGAGGGATCCAACGCCGACGCCGCTACCTCCTCCCCTCTCCTCACGGCGTGAGTTCCTCCCGGGGACGGGCGGGGCCGGAGGCGGAGCCTCGGTGCGGCCGCGCTGGTCCCGCTCCCGGCCACGCCCCCTGCTGTCCCAGCACTGCCGCGCTCCTTGGCGGCCCCGCCCACCGGCTGGCCGGGCTCCCCGGCGCCCGGTCCCGCCCTCTCTCCTAACCCGGGTTTCCTCAGCTGCAGCCGGTGCCCAGCCTCCGGCCCACCGACTCGAGGAGACCGCAGTTCTGTGTCCTAAAAAGGAGGCCATTCCCTGCCCCAAAAGAGGCTTGTCGCCGGGCAGGCAAGCTTCAGAGTCTGTGAGGCCTGAAGCTCAACCTTTTTTTTTTTTTTTTTTTTTGCCAGGTTACGGGGACGGGGAAGAGGAGGGGTACGTCACGTTGAGAAAATAATTTCGAAATTCCAAATGCAGAATTGCTGGAGAATGGCCTCCCCGGGCCTGGGCCCGAAGCCTAAGACTCGCAGTATATCCGCTCCTGAGGACTCGGGTGGGTCCTCCTGTCCTGGAGCCCAGCGTTTAGATGCTCCCGGAGACCCGGGCTTCTCACCCAGGGTGGGCTTCATTGTCTTCCAGGCTTTTGTCGCCTGGTGAGTGCTGGGCCAGCGGATCCCAGCAAGGCACGTTAGGAGTAAACGAAGGTTTTTCTATGGAACCGCTTCTAATTAATGCTGTTTCTGAACACCTATGTTGGTTGTGATGCCATTTGCCTGGGATGTACCACCTTTGTTGGGGATCAGACAGCGACATTAAGTGTCCTATGGCTTCCAGGGGTTTTGCTTGCCACGTGCAGAAATGACTCCTTGTGTCTTCTCGTTTCTGGAGATTGCCTTGCACAATTCTATTCACACGAAGTGACATTATTAGAAACTTTTTGTTTGTTACTCTGGAGCCCTGGATACTAGAGATCAAATAAAAAAAAATTATCCGGAATCTAATCAAGCTGATTGAGGCTTGAATTAAGCCTGTTTTTATCCTCCTCCACCTCCCCCTTGTATAGATGTTAGTATATCAATTGCTTTTCATTGATATACTTTAATGAATATCTTACTTTAAGTACCACCTAGCCACTATTTCAGAATGTTAACATCCACGTAGCTATGGCAGTACATTATTTCAGCGCTCAGATTTGCTTATAAAATTTATTTTTAGCCATAAAATTCCTTAAAAACAAGCCTAAACTTTATATTGCTCTCATTAAATGTTGAGTAACTGGGATAATAATGGTGAAACAAAAAGAAAATAAATGCAGCAGGACTCTATTTCAAAGAGATATTATGTAAGTAGCTTAAGATAAGAAACCCCTAAGTCAGAGTTGATGCAGTTACATGTAAATATGTTTCATTTAGTATTTTATAAAGTTCTGCTTGCAATTGTTTCCTTATATTCTGTGAATTTATTTTTATATTAATCACTTGGTTTTGTAAACATACAAGGAAAATGAATGAAATGTTCAAAGAATAAACTGGACTATAACAGAGAAACAATACTTTTCTGTCGCCAATATTGGCATGATGGATTTGTGAAGGACTTCCCTTTGGACTAGGTCCACTGTAGATGGTGTCCAGGGCTAATGTTAGTGGCTAAATTGTATTGTTTCCCAAAGGGCTATTTGCTTCCTTCAAACCTGGCAAACCACTATCCACTGTGGCCCTCCCCAAGGACATTGGTGATGTTTGAAGATGACTAGTTTTCTGTGGATGTTTTAGGATTATAGACTGCATTCCAAACTGACTTGCTTCTACTGTATCATTCTATACTGTTGATCTATAATTCATTGCCTGAGCATACCAGGGAGGCAGTGTTGTGAATTGTATTGTGGTAAGCTACTTGCTGAGACCACGCTTTGTATTTTTTACGTGTACAATTATATTTAAAATCAAGCAAGGCTTAGTTTTAGGCCTGATTTTCTTTGAAAATATGGATTTGTCTGAGGGTTGCAGTGGATGACGTTTTGATTCAGTATTAATATGTTTGCTGCTGCTACCAAGAGCTTTGTCAAGCAAGTTGGAGATGGAGGGAGATTAGTTCCTGTTCCAAGCCTCAGTGAGGCTGACAAATACCAGCCTCTAAGTCTGGTGGTCAAAAAGAAGCGATGTTTTCTGTTTCCTAGATATAAATTTACCTCAACACCTTTTACACTGAAAGATATTCTCCTAGGAGACAGAGAAATTTCAGCTGGTAAGTTTCAATGTTTGTTTGGGAGTGATTACTCATGCACGTATATTATTTGTAATCTAAATGTAGGTTGTCTGTGCTACTTACATTGGTAATATTTACACATTTTCATTGATGAAAGCAACTTTTATTACTGTAGCAGTAATAACGTTAACAATGCTTAATGTTTGTATAGTATCAAATCTCTTATTGATTGAATAATTTCAAATATATTTTATAAGTATTGTATAATTTAATTTTAGTTATTTTATAAGTTGTTTTAATCAGATCAGTTTAGAATATGGCATAATAATATATTTTTTCATTTAGAAAATGGGGCTGTTTTTCAGTCTTACCTATCTCACATAGTTAAATGAGATTAAATTAATTTGCATTTATTTGTTAATTCTCTTATTATGGTTGGTAAACTGAAATGTTTAGTTTAGAACATGTTTAGGCTAGTTTAGAAAGCAAATTAACATTTTGTCAAACTTTTCTTATAAACACTTGTTTTTCTTTCTACTAGTCATTGGATCTTGATGCTTAAGTGTTCTGTTGGCTGAAAGAAAATTTGAGTTCGTTTAAAGTACTCTGGATATTTATTTCTCTTGTTAAATTGAATTGCTCTTTTTCATCATGATTTGAGATGATACCATTCTCAACTTTTGGGTAATCAAGTTTTAAATGATAAATTAATGTATTTCTCTATATTTACATTAGATGAATTCAAGACATTTAAAATATTGATTTCTTTTTTTAAAGGTATTTCATCTTATCAGCTACTGAATTATGAAGATGAATCAGACGTTTCCCTCTATGGAAGACGAGGCAACCATATTGTGAATGACGTTGGGATTAATGTTACTGGATCAGATTCCATTGCAGTAAAAGCTTCATTTGGTGTAGTAACCAAACATGAAGTGGAAGTATCAACATTACTCAAGGAAATTACTACACGGTCAGTATAATAATCTTTAATATACTTCCATGTTTTCTTTAAACATTTTAATTATATAAACTTCATTACAAAGTGTTTAAAACATTCCAGTTATATTTTACTAGAGTAATTTGTTTGACTTATTTGAAATACTACAAATTAGTCATATACTCAAACTTTGGATACATGTAGATATCCAGAATCATTTGGTTTAAACAAAATTTAATTGTTCTGCAAGATCGCTTTGGCTCTGCACACATTTGCTAAATTATAAGATTACAAGACTTCAAGAATCTGCTTGCAACAAATACACTAAAAGTTTCCTCCAACAGACTCCTCTAGTACACATGTTTTAATGAAATAGGAGAGGCAGATTATTGAATTTCTTTTGAGCATACTTTCTGATTTGTATTAGGACTGCCTTGATTTACTTTTAATTAAGGTGGATCATGAATAGCAACACATGATAAGCAGAATTTACTTGATTATGCATAGTGAGATGATACGGATGCTTGTGAATGTCTGTCTTCTTGATTTTAGAAAAATTAATTCTGACCACAGTTTGATACGTCAGTCAAGGAGCAGCAGGAAGGCAGTACTGTGTGTGGTCATGGAAAGCATCCGAACCACGCGACAGTGCTCACTGTCTGTGCACGCTGGAGTTCGTGGGGAAGCCATGAGGGTAAACCGCTAGACTCACTGGGTCTCTCTTGCTCAAACGCTGCAATGGGAATTCAAGTATTCAAGAGCCTTGTGTGTTTTGTCACATGTTGAAATTAAAGAGCTGCAATTGCATACAGGATTTGCACGCTAATGGTTTTGTTTTAGAATGTGAAGAAAGAAATCCAAGAAAATTTGAATTATAAACATGTAAAATAATGTAAAAAAAAAATACTAATCCTTGTGAAATAATGGGTACAGTGGAGTCCCTCAGAGTACTGCTGTTTTAAGAATACAGACTGAGTGTGTTTATTGAACTCTTCGATTTTATTTTTAAGTGATAGAGTTTATACTTGAATTTTAAAAGTTGAGTTTATATTTTTATTGATTTTTCTAAAATAACATTGCCAATGGCCAAACATGCTTCATTCAGTGTTAAGTCCTTTAAAAAATCTTGAAAAGTTCTTTGTGTTTAATTTTTAGCTCAATTATGACATTATTTGTCATTGCCACTCGCCTAATAATGACACATAATGATGACTTGTTTTATTAAAATGAATTATTAGAAAGATAGACTACATTGATAATCTTTTCAAGTCTTTGCACATGAAGTGGCTACATTTAAGTGCCCACCAAATTGTTTAATATTGGATCACTTTGGGGGCATGAACTGAATGAAAAACATTTACTTAATTGTTGGTGATTGCTTTGGAAAGCTGCTGAAAGCTCTGGGGGCTTTGGAACAGTGGACACAATAGGCTAAAAACAAATGTAGGCCTTAAAGTCAGTGGATTTGCAGTTGAAAGGAAAAGGTTCCTATGATCCAAAGCATCACCCTTGTGGTAGCTCTAGTCATTGGCTTGGGTACAAAGTAAATGAGAAAGTAACAAGTATTTCCTAATATAGATCAGGAGTCCCCATTGGACCATTTATTTGAACCTCTGCTATAAACAGTTGAATTCAAGTAGGATAGTTCTTTACTTGGAGGGGTGGAAGAGTTTGTTTTTGGTATGATTGTAGTGAATGTTTTGTTTCTCCAAAAATATATCATTTACATGTTATACTCCTTAACAATATTGTTTAATTTATTTAATATAGTTTCATTTTATGGATGA